AAAGGCCAAAATCCTTGCCATGGGTCATAAAGCCTTGCCCGTGTCCCGCCTCTCTCTCTGCTCTGCTCTGTCCTCGCTGCCCTGCAGCAGGGTGGGGGGGGGCTTTCAGGTGCCCCAGCTCCCCCCTAGCATTCCCCCTACCGCTGCCGCTGCCCCTTCCACAGCCAACTCGAGTTTCACTACTGCACGAAGCCTTCCTGGTTCCTTCAGGCGCTATCAGCCTCCTAGCTAGACCCTTCACACGAGGAAGACCCGCCATTCGTGTGCGCATGGACTCAAGCCACATAAGAGGGAGCTTCAGAAATTCGTGGACAAATGAAATCAAAACCCAACTTAAGTTTGGTGCATAAACGTTTGAAATCCGTGCATAGTTGTTATAATACACACTTCCAATGAACTTTTGGAGGGCTCCTCAGATCCGCCACCAGCCTGTTAGCACCATCGGAGTGGGGATTGTGCTTGATCAGAGAGAGAGAGAGAGAGAGAGAGAGAGGAAGGAAGGAAGGACGGACTACAATGAGTGCTTTAAATGTCTTCCCAGGAAATTATAAGAACTTTTTGTTGATAATTTAAAGATATTTCTTGGGGCCGGCACTGTGGCATAGTGGGTTAAGCCGCTGTCTGTGGAGCTGGTGTCCCATACGGGCACCTGTTAGAGTCCTGGCTGTTCCACTTCCAATCCAGCTCCCTGCTGGTGTGCCTGGGAGAGCAGTAGAGGATGGCCGGAATGCCTAGGCCCCTGCAGCCATGTGGGAGACCCAGATGAGGCTCCTGGCTCCTCCTGGCTCCTGGTTTCGGCCTGGCCCTGACTGTTGTAGCCACTTGTGGAGTGAACCAGCAGATGGAAGATCTCTGTTTCTCCCTGTCTCTCTGTAATTTTGACTTTCTTATAGCACCTTTTCATTGAAAATATTTTTTACACTTTCTCTCTTCTTAATCGGGCTTGAGTTTATGAATTTTGTTGTGCTTTTCAAATAAAAAAGTTTTTGATTCTATTCATTATTCATACTGTTTGTAACTATGTTACAATATTCTCCTGTTCTAATAGGTTTTTCCAAAAAAGAGTTGAGTCTTCAGGTTTTTAGTTGTGCCTTCATAGCATCCAAAAATAAAGCCTTTCAACATTTCTTCCTTTTCAGTATTTCAACCGACTATTTCATGTTATGTCTTATTGCTTTACTGCAGCCTCTAAGACTACATTAACAATAGTGGCAATAGCAAGCCTCTCTCTCTCGTTCCTGAATTTGGTGGCAATGGCTGGCTGCAGTATGTCCCCACTGTGTGTGCTGCTTTGAGAACTCACATCCATCGTTCCCTGAAGGGAGGGAGATACAGGCTGGATGAAAACCACAAGCATCTTGGGAGCTAAGTGAACAACAACAACAAAAACAGAAAAGTGTTTCAAGAAGAAAGGAGGAGCTGTGTCAAACGCTGGGTTGGCCATGTAAGAGCAAGCCTGGGCACTGGGCATCAGATTTAAAACTTGTAGGGCACTGGTGACCTCGCCCAGAGTGGCCTCCGTGAGTGCTGATGCAACAGGTCAAAGAGGCAGTGGGAAGAGAGGGAGTGGAGATGCTGAGACGATGCAAGTTTTGTTTTGCTGGGTCTCGCTGCAGCGTCGGGGCAGCAGATGGAGAACAGGGGAGTCCAAGGAGTCCTTTTTGGTTTGCTTTTTATTTTTTTAAAGATGGGAGAAGTGAAATCGTATTTGAAAGCTTGCTTCTGTTTATGACTACTAGTGAGGAAAAACTGGTGGCCAAAGAGAGGGGAGAACTGGTAGAGAGATGGTCCTGAAGCTGCGAGTGGGATGTGGTAGGCACAAGCGGACAGTGGCCTCATAGGAGCAGAGAGGAGACAGGTGTCGGGAAGGGGCCATTGGAGTCAGCCCTGGTTTCCTGTTCTCAGCAGGCTCAAGCGTTTCCTAGGTGAGCCTGGTGACCACCAGGTCTGGAACCAGCAGGCAGGCACCAGAACCAGGCAGCACCTTGATCTCGTCTCTTGTGGCTGAGGGTGGCAGAGTGGGCCCTCAGCTCCGGCCCTTTGGTCAGGCCCAGGCTGGGAGAGTAGCCGCAGACCTGTCTCGTCTTCCTGACAGGACATAAGAGAAAAGAGAGGAGAGAAAGGGGAGAGGAGGAGGGGTGTGTGTGAGAGAGAGAGAAGGAGAGAGAGAGAGATGTCAAACGTACCACCCACGTGAAGGACAAGGGCCAGGTACAGTGTCCTTGGCCCTGATGTCAATGTCCCCTTGGAGCAGAAGGGGTGGGGCAGGAAAGCAATGTTTAATAATCGGTCACCTCCCCTCCTCCACCAAGATCTGAATCAAAATGGTAAAACCAACAAAATTGGTAGCTGCAGTTACACGAGATGGATTTGTTCAGCACAATGTTTTTTTGTTTGTTTTTTGTTTTTTTAATTTAACAGGCAGAGTTAGACAGTGAAAGAGAGAGACAGAGAGAAAGGTCTTCCATCCGCTGGTTCACCCCCCAAATGGCAGCCATGGCCGGCGCTGCACCGATCCGAAGCCAGGAGCCAGGTGCTTCCTCCTGGTCTCCCATGGGGTGCAGGGCCCAAGCACTTGGGCCATCCTCCACTGCCTTCTCGGGCCACAGCAGAGAGCTGGACTGGAAGAGGGGCAACCGGGACAGAATCTGGCGCCCATAAGGATGCCGGCGCTGCAGGCGAAGGATTAACCAAGTGAGCCACGGCACCAACCCCAGCACAATGTTTTCTAACATCAGATCTAAATACCCCAAGCAAGGTGGGCATGGTGCTTATGTGCTCAATGCGTGGCCCCCTCGCCCTGTCCCTGGGTCCTCCAGAGGCAGTGCAGGTGCTGCACCTCTGTCCCCACCACCGCACACAGCTGGGGGGCCCAGAGGCAGAGAGCCATGCTGCTACACACCCCCCACAAGTGAAAAAGGAAGCGCTAAAGCAGGGAGACCCCCTCAGCTATTTCCTGCTGAGTGACACCCACCTCCGCCAGCTGTATCTTTGAGTCTCCCCTAGGGAGTAAGAAGCAGGCCTGTCTCGTCTCCTGACAGCAGCACCCACAGGAGGAGGACACCCCATGGCACACACGTGACAGAGAGTGCCTAGCTAGACTCCCTGCTCGCATGCCTTCTCCGCCGGCGGGATTCGATAATGGACTCGGATATTAAAATGCGTATTTCATAGTCTCTTGTCCCACCATTTGGAGGAGGGCCATTCACTAGGCAGGGGCCATTCAGTCATGCTCATCGCACAGGGAAAATCCTGTTTTCCATTGCCAAATGGAAGGGAGAAGAGATTATCTCACGTGGCCAGGCCCAGGGGCTCCCAGGAGCAGTGTCCAGACCGGAGCTAAGTACCCAGCAGGAGACTCCTCTACCCCCGTGTGGTCTCCGCACTGGGCCTCAGCAGCCCCTCCCTGCGCTACTGGTGGGCTCCCCACCACACACTGGCCCTTCTTGTCTCTTTTGCATAAAGTACGCATCCTAGGGGCCTCTTTCTCTTCCTGTTATAAAAATGAATAAATCAACGCCAAGCATTTCAGATTTATGCATATGCACTGACTTGGTAATACTTATTTGTAATGAAAATTAAGGGAGTAAACTGTTCCCAGTTGGGTGTGGGGAGGACACAGGGGAATGTCTGACACAGAGCTGTGCACAGTGGCGGTCCCAGGCTCCCTCCTTAGCCCAGCCTGTGTCAGGCGACTGAAGCTCAGACAACCACAGTGCCTAACTTAGCAGGTAGACCTAATATAATATATCATCCGGCCCTACAGGAACCTGCACGCCTCTCTGTGTGCTATACACAGCTGTAATAATTACAGCCGACACTTATTCCCCCTCATAGGGGCGTCCCGGGGCTGACCACTGGATGCATTTTCCAAAAGGACCCACGATGTGTAATTTCGATGGCTTTGGCCACGTGACAATCAGCATCGCTGTATGGATTCGCATTAATTCTTTCAATAATTATTGAGCTCCTCCCAAGAACCTGGGGTTGCACAGGCTCTGGGGACCACGCAGAACCAACCCCAGCGCACCACTGACCCTATGGCGGGTCAAAGTTCAGTTCCCACTGGGGATGCTTTGGGGCCGGCAGAAAGGAGGGCTCCTGGGCAGCCAAGGCCACTGGTGACCTCCCTACTGTCCTGTTCTTTCTCTGCCCAGCAAAGCAGGTTCTCGACGCTCCCAGGGGGACACACGCGTTCCAGCGAGGCATGTCCGCGGTGCGCACCGCTCTGGGCAGGCTGGAAGGCAGCACTCAAACACGAGTTATTCCCAAAGTTGTGGCTTCAGAGGCTTCTCCTGTTCCAGCTCTCAGATTGCTGGTTTCCTCCAGTTCGTTTTCCTGGGGTCGGGTCGGGCACAGGAGGCCAGAGGCACAGCCCAGGCAGCCCGCTCTGAGCAGGGGGGCGGGCTCGGATTCCGCACGTGCGCTGCGTGCCCCTCAACCTCGGCCATGCGCCCCCTCCCGCCGACGCGGGGCTCGGGGGCAGTCCGGTCCCCGCGGTCCCCTCTCCTCTACCCTCTGACCTCCGCTACGGACGCGCGGGGCTGACCCCGCGGCGAGGCCCTGTTTCAGAAGGACCCCGCTTCCTGCCTTTCTCTGCCCCACTGGACACAGCCTGGACAGAGCCCGAGGGCACCCCTCTCCCGGGGCAGGAGTGAGGACTCCGGGGAGCGGGAGCCCAGGCGGCAAGGCCGGGCAGCCCGGGAAGCGGGCTCCGCGCAGGGGACGCGCGCGCCCGACTGCCCAGGTGGGGCGGCCTCCGTCCGAGGCGCGGGGTCGGAGGAGGCCCGTCTACGCGGCTCGCGCCCGGCCTCGGAACAGCGCGGCTGAGCGGCCCGGAGGCTGCGGGAGGGAGGAGCGGGGCGCGCGCGGGCGGCGGCAGCCCCGGCCGCCCAGGGCCCGGCTCCCCCGCGCCGCCGCAGCAGGTGGGGGCCCGGCGGGCCGGGGGCGGGGCCCGGCTCGGGGCGGAGCCGCCGCGGCGCGGGCGAGGGACCCGGCCCGAGCCCGAGCGGGAGCCGCGAGCCGGGCTGTCGGGGCGCCCGCGGGAGCTCGCCGCGCGCCGGGGCTGGGACCGGCCAGGCCGAGCGCGCCGGCGCCGTGGCCGCAGACAAAGGCGCTGCTCGCGCCCGGGCCGCCGCGCTCCCGGGCTCTGATCGGTGAGTGGCTCCCCCTGCGCCTCTCGGAGTTCCGCGGGCTCCGGTGCAGCTGGGGGGCGAGGAAGCAATGATACTTCCCGCTCTCCCCGCACCCCCTGCCCACCTTACCCGTAAGCCCCCCAAGGCCAGGCACGCCCCAAACTGGCGAGTTTCCGAGCGGTGACCTCTTCCTCGGCGGACCGCGCGCGGGTGTCGTCCCCGGTCTCGGGTTTGCTTGGCAGGGTTGTCCGCTGGGCGCCCCCGGGGTGTGCCTCGGGGAGGAGGACTGCGGGGCTGGGTGCCGGGAGGAACCCCACCCCCGGGGGCAGAGCCGCGCGTTTGGGGGTCTCGGAGGGCAGATTCGGGTCTTCGTGGCGGGGTCTGCCCCAGTGCCCTGTCATCGCCCCCTCCAACCTCCTCCCAGCGACCCCCGCCCCAAACCGAGGCGCCCACTCCGGGGGTCCTGTGTCCCCTGGAGAGCGGAGAGGGAGTGGGCCCGGGCGCTTCCCCGGTGCGGTGCGTTGATCCCGAGCCCGAATGTGCGGGGCCGGCGGGCGGGCGGGGCAGGCAGCGGCGGGGCTGGAGCCCCCTGCACGCCCGGGCTGGCGCCCCCAGCCCCCTCCCCGCCGCTCTCCATCCGAGAAGCCTCCCGAAGCCTCGCGGCTCCTGCTTTTGTTCTACCGGCTACTCTCCGGAATCGAAGAAGCCTGGGTGGGCGGATGCCCCGGAAGGGGGCTGCGGTGGGAGTGCCAGGTGCGGCCCCGAAGTGATAATTGGAGGCGGCGGCCGTTTCCCGGTCCCGACCCGGGGGCGACCGGGGGGATCCCGGTCGCTGATCGATTCCCGGAGCGGGCAGCGGGTCCGCGGCGTCCCGAGTGAGCGCGGTGCCCTCCGCGGCCGCGCACTGTCACGCGCCTCTCCCGAGGTCTGGGAAGCGCTACCTTGAGACAAGAATTTCCATTCATGGATTTGTGCCTGGGACTTGATTAATGTCACCCGGCTCGGGTTCTCTAAGGAGCGGGTGTCCGCTACTCCTCCATTTGAGAGTCGTTTCCTGGGGACCTACTATGTGCAGGGCAGCTTAATTTGAAAGAGACTTCACCGAGCACCTGCTGTGGGCAAAGTGGATACTCTACAAACTTTTCAGGTTCATCTATTAAGCACCTACTATGCGCAGCTGCTATGCCCTAACTTTCTCAATTTAACAGATACTGGTTGAGTACCTACTGGGTTCAAGGCATCTGCACTGTTTGTTGTGACTGCTGGAGGGTCTCCAGTGTACTGGGAGGGGGGGGTGCCCGGGATTATGAAAACAAGGGAGAGAGGACAGCGTGTCTCATCCTGGAGTCTTCAACTCCTTTCCCTTTAACCTTTGGGGGCTGCTTGTTGTGTGGCTAGGAAGTGCTAGTCCCCTCCACCCCAAGGTTCCTTCTGTGTCTGAGGGTTTGCCAGACCAGAGCAGGGCAGAAGAATGGCACGTCCTGTGCTGGAACCTCTTTCCCCTTGGGTTGCCTGTGAATATGTCAATGAAACTGACAGGGAAAAAGTTACTGTGCGTGGTGTATTTATTGCTCAACTTAAGTTTTTATAGGTATCCTATGTGTGTGTGTGTATATATATATATATACACACATATATACATGTATATGTATATATGATGGTTCTTAAATCTATGTTATCTGGATAAATATGGATCAATATGAGATGAAAAAATTCTATATAGTGTCAATATTTATAATGCACTGGACATTGATTCCTTTGAAACTATTTAAACATATATGTATATATGTATATATATATAGGGCATTGGGACATAAGGGGTAAAACAAACAACAACAAACCCCAAAACAAAAATAACCAGATGGTTCCTGTATACAAAGCCTTGCTATCACAGGGAAGCAAGCCCAGGTTAACAAGGCACAGCTCTCACGTTCCAAGAGATGGGGACTGCATGGTGGGGACAGAAAGAAAGGAGGACAGAGAGCCGAGCCAGGAGTGAAGCGACGGGGCTGGGGAGAGGGAAGCGCTGAGACAGGCCCCGCTGGCTCTTCCTGCCACCAGCTCCAAACAGCACCAGGGGTGTTGGGCCGAGAATGCCTTTAAAATCCTGTCTCTGCCTCCAGGGGTGGGGACCTGGGGTTGGACGCGTGGTCTCAGGCTGCTTCCTGCTAAGGAATTTCATGACCTTGCTCCTCTGGCAATCTTGGCATCTTCCAGAGACACACTGCAATGCCTGCATTGGCCAGAAAATTGTAGCCCCTCTATCTGTTGGCAAGTGCTTGAGCACTTAGAATGCTGCATAGGTTGTGAGCAGGGGAACATGGTCCAAGGCAGGTAGTCCTTGTCCAAAAGGAACAGTCAGAGTTCGTGAGATAAACTCATACATTGCCAACCTGGGCAGCATCTATGAGAAGCTAGGAACAGATTCCTCCTGGAATTGAGCGTCAGAGAGAAACCTTCTGACCTCAGGGAACTGTGGTTTATCTTTTATCAAGCATTGGAGAACTCTCTTTGCCTTGTATGTTTATCTTTTCACCTTGGCCTCCAGCAATTCCTGGTAACAGCTTTACCCCAGCTGGGTACAATGATTTTTTTTTCCTTCCTAAATTCTTACTGATCTCCCTTTTAAGCTCTCTTTAAACGACCTTATATTATTATTATTATTATTTTTGCTGTGACCTCAAAAACCCCCTCAGATCTTTTCTGGAAGTAGGCCCATTGTAAAAGACTAGAAGATATGGCCAGCATTAGATGAATGGACTTGGAGGCCGGGTACTTGTTAATGAGAAAAACCCAAAGGCACCTTCAGGCATTCATGGAGAAAGCAAGGTGGCCTTGCAAGGTGAAATAGGATTCAGATGGCAGATGTGTGAGCAAAGGTGTCGAGCTCTCCAGGAATTTGGGGGACCTGGAAGTTTCCATTCACTCCACAGGCAAGTGTTGCCCGAAGGTTTCGCGCGTGCGGGACGGTGCTGGGTGTCAGGTGGGGGAATCAGCAGCATGCCACAGCTGGCGAGGACCCTGTCGCCTGGTCCAGCTGCCGAGTGGCCCTGCATCCCTACCATTCTTTCGAGCATTCCTGGAGTGTTTTCACCTGGGCTGAACTTGACTGGCATCTTCTGCCAGGCCAAGAATGCAACTCCTTCTCCTCTCTGTGTCCTTCCCTCCCTGGAGGCTCTGGGAGAAGGGATCGGTAGAGGGGGTGACACTGGACGCCAGTGCCCCCCCACCCCGTCCCTCCTTGTCAGCTGTCCTTGCCTTCGCTCTGCCACTTCCGGCTGTTCAGCACCTTTCACTGAACGAACCCCGTCTCAGGGGAAAGTCAGTCTGCCCTCGGTTGCTTTCTGTTGCCTGTGACTGAAGGTCCCTGCTTTCTCTCTTCCAGGGGTCTTTGCTCTTTAAGCCTTGTTATGGCACGGAAGGCTGTGCCCACCATGAGAGAGAGAGAGGATATCAGACACAAGTGGGGGTTGGAGGTCAGAGGGGAGGCAAAGTGCCTTTCCTGGCGCCCCTGAAATGATGCCGGCACCTCCTTATGCAGCTGCTGTTGGCCAGGGTCCTCGCAGCCCCGTGATAGGAATGCAGAGCCTTCGTTGGCTTGGATCGTGGTGTGCGGGCTGATGGCAGACGGTAGCGCCCCGCGGGCCACCTTCCACCTGGCCTTCCCAGACTCCACGCGGAGGTTCGAAGGCTTCACATCCGCCAGAGGGAATCCTTGCTTCTTGCCTTTCCAGGCCATCATTCCAGGGCAAGTGTTGTCAACCTCATTGACCAGATGAGTCTCTGTTAGGGAGAGCACCCGGTGTATCCCAGGATGTTTGACAACATCCTTGCCCTCCTCTAATTAGATGCCAGTGGCACCTGCCTTCTCCTCTCTCCCTAAGGTGTGCCAACCCAACAGGTCTCCAGACCTTGTCAAGTGTTGCCCCTGGGGAGCAAAGTCATCCCTGATTGAGAACCGCTAGACTTCGGCTGTAGCACATTGTATAACTAAGCCCACTTTTCTGCCAGATGCCTGATTCAATAAAGGTGATTTAAAAGATGCGTAGTTAACTTTGTGGAACTTTTTTTTTTTTTAATCTTTATTTATTTATTTATTTATTTATTTTTTGACAGGCAGAGTGGACAGTGAGAGAGACAGAGAGAAAGGTCTTCCTTTGCTGTTGGTTCACCCTCCAATGGCCGCCGCGGCCGGCGTGCTGCGGCCGGCGCACCGCGCTGATCCAATGGCAGGAGCCAGGTGCTTATCCTGGTCTCCCATGGGGTGCAGGGCCCAAGCACTTGGGCCATCCTCCACTGCACTCCCGGGCCATAGCAGAGAGCTGGCCTGGAAGAGGGGCAACCGGGACAGAATCCGGCGACCTGACAGGGACTAGAACCCGGTGTGCCGGCACTGCAAGGCGGAGGATTAGCCTAGTGAGCTGCGGCGCTGGCCGGAACTTTTCATATAAAAAATTTCAGCACGTGAAATACGTATCCTTTGCTGGACCACACATTCTAATCTGGTCATCATATCCAGGTCATCTTTGGAGGAAAATTATTTTAAAAAAATCTCAAATTCCTCCCCTAGTCCCTGGCTGACACATGGACCAAAAGTGTAGGTGGCAGACTTGGCCTTCTGTCACTCCCACAGGCTCATCCCCACCTGCTGCTGGGGGCTTTGTGGGGGGCTTTGAGTGGAAGTTGTGTTAGCTGCTGGTGAAAGATCATCTGAGAAAGGCCCTGGGGGTGACTGACACTGCGTCTACAAGCCTAGGAAACTCGGGACTTCCAGGAACTTTTCCTCCCTCCTTCTCTTCCTTTTTATTTCGTCACGGTTTCTTTGCTGTGCTCACTGGGAAGCTTGGTTCAAGTAACTCCATGTACTACTGCTCACAGGAGGCAGAGTAAGGCTGATCCATCTTGAGAGAGAAGCGTGAGTCACCGGCTGCTCTCCCTGCCCCTAACTTCTCCATCTGCGCCCACCACGCCATCCTGGTCACAGGTGCAAAGCAGATCTCTCTCCCTACCTGGAAGAGGCC